AAATTGCAGAGGCAATTGCAGTAGTCAGAGCTGCAAAGTTTTACTCGCTGTTTCCTAATTATTCTATATCCAGGTTCACACCGTTCTTGCTTATACACCAGTGAGTTAAGTAATTTTCCTTTTATAGCCTCAATGCATTGTCCCGAATATAGGTGAACTAACTCAGATGGGTTATTATCGCTTCTCCTCCTTGCAAGTAAAAAGTTGAGTTTCACTGGGACTTTATTGTTGCCATTTTTTACCACAAATTGACGGCAAGCACTGGCTGGGTCATTCAAAGCAACCATATCCTACATCCCCTTTCCTTAAAATATTAAGCCTTAGGTAAAGAACATTTGAAGATTTGGGTTTTATTTTATTTTCACCCACACTACTGCTGCTGGAATGGAAGAATGCACTGGAATCTCATGGCTCAGACAGTTGCAAGTCAATTTAGGGGAGAGAGAACTGCCAGTTCCTATATCATCCTTGTCGCTACCACTAACAAAGACCTTAAAATGCTCCTAAATTTATCTCCTCCTTGTGCTTCAGAGAAAAATCAGAGACTTCAACAGTGATTTGACTGGGCCAGCCATTCACAATCCTTAATCTTCTTGCAATAAATAAGCTTTCCATTTTTCCGGGCAGTTCAGTCACCTTTTCTGGACAAGTTCGGGTTTTAATTAATCTTTCCTGAATGCATATGAGCAGTATGTACAGTATTTCAGATGAAATATGTGTTTTTTGATGCCTCTAATATTGGCAAATATACTTTTATACTTATGATAGAAATACCTTAAATCTAAGAAACATCTCTTTTGAAACATCATCTATTGAGGTTACACCAAGCTGCAGGTTCAATTCATAATTTTTATACGCTTTAGCCAGCATAAATCAGTAACTAAATAAGCACAGGTGACCTTCACCAACTCTGGCTTGCACTTCAGTTCCTTTTTATCCATTCTTTTGCTTGCCATGTGTTTATATAGCAAAGCAGATTGAGAAACTCATTGAATTTTTCTTTTGGCTGTTTTTCCCATCTTACAACACCCACTCTAATCCCCATTTTCTCATCGTAATCAACCATTTTTTCACTTGGCACCGCATAAACACTCCACTCAAGTCCTGACAGAACAACTTTTCTGCATTTTGTTTACACAATCAGCAAACACAGTGACTGTCTGATACATCAGCAAGAAATCTTCGATACGTATGGCCAAAATGGATTGGAATGGCAGACTACATACACTTTAGGTGGCTTTTCCTCACTTAGGGCAAGACAGAACAAGGCCCAGAGAAGAGCTCAGCTAACTGGAGGTCACATGCTTGTGAGCACAGCCTGTTAATGAGAAATGAGACATTGTTAAATGGGAGGAATGTGATCAACACAAAAGAAAATAAAAGGACTGCGATGTGACCTCTGCATCAAATGAATAGGATGTCTTGAGGAAAAGGAAGGGGAAGCAGAGTCAAGGTGGAATTGAAGAGAATGAGAGGAAGACAGAGTAAAAACTGTGGAGGAATGGAGCAATAGAAGAAGGAAGGGAAAGAAAAGATAAAGACTAACATTCATGCAACTATATTTTCCCCGCAGTCCCAAAGCAGTACACAGAAGGGTTGCTTCTCTCCTCCAGTTCAGAAATGCAAAGGTCAAAATGTTGTCCTACATCTGGACCTGTTCTTTTAGCAGGTGTCATGCTTGAAGTGCAGGTCCAATAAAATCTAGTTGTAAATATGCTCTCTCATTCCCAGCATTAATAAAATTTGTGGATGGCACTTATTTTTAAAACATGCCTATAACATACAGTTTAATTTTAAAAGCACCCTATGCAGTACATAATGGGACATTGCAAATTGGTTATATAATAAGTAGAAGAAAGAACAACATAAACAGTGGTTTGCAGCCTTGACCCTATGGTGTTTCCTGCCACAATGAAAGTAAAAACACATGTTCTCTGACAACCATCAAACACTTTGTCACTGCTATTGGACACATTGCTGCCTTAGGGTTTGTCTACATGCAAAGCTACATTGGTTTAGCTGGGTTTAATTTACTGCAAAGGGCTGTGTGAATTCTTATTTTGACTTAAATCAGACTTATTTCAGTTCAGTTGAACAAATTAAAGGTCAGATGAAGCCTGAGTAACTGTTGATTAGGACAATCATGGTTCTAATCAATTGCTTACAATTATAGTTGCTGCCTAGCAAAGCTTGCTTTCTAGTAGCTTATCTTGATGAAGTTTTGCTTGATTCCCCAGACTGTCTTAATTGACTGCAATTGCACCTGAATGGTTCTCAGGATCTGGTGTCACTGAGTTAATGTAAATGAATCTTTCCTCCTGCAGAAGGCAGAGAGCATGTGTGTGTGTGCACATGAAGTACATACACAAGACAGCACAACTATTAACTGGGAAAATGCTGGTTTTTCCAAAAATTAACTTAACTTTTTCAATACAGGTTGACCAGACTGTTCGTGGATGCCTCACCACCAGAGACACTCAAGGTCAGGCTGGAAGGATGCTGAGAGATCTGATCTAGCTGTAGGTGTCCCTAATCACAGAATCACAGAATGCCAGGGATTGGAAGGGACCATGAAAGATCATCTAGTCCAATCCCCCTGCTGGAGCAGGAATAACTAGATCAGGTCTCACAGGACCTGCATCCAGGCAGGTTTTGAACATCTCCAGAAAAGGAGACCCCACAACCTCTCTCGCCAGCCTATTCCCTCTGTTACCCTTAATGTGAAGAAGCTTTTCTCATATTTATGTGGAATCTCATATGTTCCAGCTTGCACCCATTGCCCCTTGTCCTATCATTTGATGCCACTGAGATGAACCTGGCTCCATCCTCCTGACCTTCACTCTTTACATATTTATGAGCATTAATGAGGTCACTCTTCAGTCTCCTACAAACTAGAGACCCAGCTCCCTCAGCCTTTCCTCGTAAGGGAGATGCTTCACTCCCTTAATCATTGTTTATGGCTCTGTACTGGACTTTCTCAGTCAGTTCTGTCTCCTTGAACTGAGGTGACCAGAAATGGACACAATATTCCAGTTGTGGTCTCACCAGGGCAGAGTAGAGGGGGAGGAGAACCTCTCTGGATCTACTAACCACACCCCTTCTGATACACCCCAGGATGCCATTGGCCTTCTTGGCCACAAGGGCACAATGTTGGCTCATGAACGTTGCAGGGGATTGGACCAGATAACCCTTAAGGGTCTTCCAACTCAGATGATTCTATGAATGCTGCACCCAATGCAGACATTTCTCAGCACACAGATGATGGCAGAAGTGGCTGTCTCAGCCCTGTATGGGCTCAGAGCACTCCAAACTAAGAAACTGCCTCATATGCAAGCAGAGTGACTTACGAGTTCCTCAGTTCAGCCTCAGTCTTGCTTGGCAAAGCACTTGGTAAGTATACTTGAAACTGCTGCATGTATACAGGGAAATTTATCTGCTTAGGGAAATGCAATGGAAATTACAAATTAAATGAATGGAAAACCAGCCATCATTATTCCCAAGAAGAGCATGCACAGAAGGAGTTATACCGGTAGAGTAATAGTAGGACAATTACAACACTAACAACATCGGTACACTTCTCCAGCCTTGTTCTGTTTTAGGAAGGCTTGCCAGCATTCTCCTTACTAAGAAAATATTCAGAGTATTTCTGTGCAGAGGAAAAGATAACAGCAGAAGAATCATTCTGGTATTTTCTGTAACTAACATTCATGCAACTGTATTTCCCCCGCAGTCCCAAAGCAGTACACAGAAGAGTTGCTTCTCTTGCCCAGTTCAGAAATGCAGAGGTCAAAACATTGTCCTACATCTGGACCCGTTCTTTCAGGCCAAGGCAATTCAGGTAAACCTAAGGAGAATTTCTCCTCATTGCCCCAACATTATCACTAGCTATCTGTCACAGAGAACATACATCATTAGTAATTACTATCTTCGTGGGGCAGAAGGGCTCTGCCAGGTCAACCCACCATCTAAAGCCTCGGTTAGGCTAAGAGCTGTGCAGCCATGCTGCTGGCAGATTGGTGTAGACTGTGGGGTGCTGCTGGGCTTCATGATACACATACTGCACAGGGAACACACAAAGCAAGAACTTGCTTCGAAGCAATGCTTTTATTTTTCAAGTGCTAGTTTATTTTTCATTAAAACAAACAAACAAACCAAAATCATTAAAATACTGTCCATTTCATCTTCTAAGGACATTTTGATGTTAACACTGAAATTAAGGCACATAAAAGCTGAGGTTGTGCGCACTTTTAGGCCTAGCACCTCCTGTTCACATTTCCACTGTGCTGAACTGTGACACAGTTTACTTCAATTAGGAACAGGAAGGAGCTCAGCCCTTTCCACATAAGGCTGGAGCCACAGCAAGGAAGCCTGGAGCTTGGAGGCTGCTCGTAGCACGGCCGCGTTGAACGAGCCCTCAGCTGCCATCTCAGCCGCTCTGCCCCCGCTCTCCCCCCACACGACGGCCGCAGAGCGCACTTTGCCCTTACTTCAGGCACAGACACGAGCCCTGCGGCCACATCGGCGCTGCCGGACCTGCTCGGCGCTGCCGACACGAGTAACAGCAGCCCCGCAGCCTGCCCGCAGGGCCTGACGCGCACAGCGCGTCTTCTTCTCCCTCGGCATACCCCCACCGCCTGTGGAGAACCCCCACCCCTCCCCCGGGGGGCCCGAACCCCGCAGGCACCACCATCTCACTGCCACCCACAACCGCCCTACAACACACCCCGCCGCCGCCGCCGAGGGGGGATTTAAATCAGAACCCGGAAGCCGGGCCGGGTCGGCGCGGGGCACGCCGGGATTTGTAGTCCCGCCTCCCCCCGCGGGCAGCCCTTCGCCGACCAGCAAGGAGGGGGCGGGGAAACCACAATTCCCCTGAGCCTCCGCGGCCGCCGCCGCCTCAGGTGCGCAGGCGCGGTGCGGGGGGCTGGTTTTTGAATCCGCGGCGTTGTTATTGACGCCATATTGCTGGTGTGGGAGTCACAGAGGGGAGCGCCGCCGCCGCCGCCGCTCGGGCCCCGCCGCCATCGCTCGTCATCGGCGGCCGCGAGCCGGGTAACCGGGCCCAGCTCCGCGCCCCTCGGCCCAACGCCCGCCCCGCGACCCTCCGCGGGCGAAATCGGCCCCGCCGGAGCGCGGGGTACGGCAGGACGGGCGGCGAGAGGGGATCCGGCCGGCCGAGCCGCCGGGGGCCGGGGCCGCTCCCTTGAGAGAGGCCGATAGGGAGGCGACGGAGGCCCTGACGCAGCGGCCCCCTCCTTCCCCTGCCTCCCTTCCTCCCGCCCCAGACAGCGAGGAAGGCGCCTCCGGGCAGGGCCGCTCGCCTCCGTCTCCCCGTCCCCTCTCTCCGAGCCCCGCTCCCCGGCCCGGCCGCCGCCCGGCGCCATGGCGTGCGGCGCCACTTTGAAAAGGACTCTGGATTTCGACCCGCTGCTCAGCCCGGCGTCCCCGAAGCGGAGGCGATGTGCGCCATTGTCAGCCCCGGCCTCGGCCGCCGCCTCCTCCTCCTCCTTCGCCTCCCCGCAGAAATACCTGCGCATGGAGCCCTCGCCCTTCGGAGAGGTGTCCTCCCGGCTCACCACAGGTGATTGGGGGGGGGAAACCCGGGGGGCTGCGGGCAGGGCGTGGGGGAGGAGGGGGTCCCGCGGCCCCCATCGGCCGTTTTACGTCGGCTCGGCGGTTGGCGGCGGCGGGGGCCGGGGCCGGGGCCGGCCCCGCTCGGCTTGGCAGCGTCGCGGCGGAGACACAATGGAAATGGCCGTTTGCGGCAGGAGAGGGGGAGGAGGGACGGGGAGGAAGGGGGGCGGGTAACGCCGCTGCGGGCGGCCGGCCCTGGGAGAGAGGGGTCGGGGCGGGGGGGCTGCGGAGAGGGACCGAGCGAGGGGAGGGGGCGCGGGGGGAGCTGGGCGGTGAGGTCGGGCGGCGGGCACGGAGGGGTTCCTTCTTTTATTTTTTTTCTCGTTTTTCCTTTTTTTTTTTTCTTCTTCTTCCCATTCCCCCCTACTCCGCCCCCCCTGGTGCCGGGAGAGCCGCAGGGCCGAGCCCGGTTGCGGAAATGCCCGGCGGGGCGGGGACCCGTTCGGAGCCTCCCTGCTCTCGGGGGTGGGAGCGACGGACCCGGGGGGCCGCCGCCCCTCGCCCAGACGTTGTGGGGGGGGTGGAAGGGAGGGGAACGGGGAGGGCGGCCCGTCATCAATCACCCGCAAAACGCCGCCGGGAAAGGCCCGAGCGGATAAAACAAAGGGGCGATCCCGTGTGCGGGCCTTTAATGCGCGTCGCCGCCCCGAACGTGACCCATTCTGCGGCATCCTTCAAGTTTCGGGCGGAAAAAAGCGAGCGATGAAAGCGGTTGTGTGCGAGCGTGAGCTGCCTCTAGGGCAGATAAAATGAGAGCGAGCCGTCTCGCCTCGGAGACGTTGGGCGAGAAGGGTGCCCGTGCTCTTAACGTGCGAGGTGGTTCAGCCGGTGGCCCTGGGCACCGCGGGTCTGCCTGTGTCACGGCGTCGGGGAGAAATCGGCTCAGCTGGGCAGTTGGGCACGAAGAGAAGAAAGGAACGAATGCTGGCTGGGTGTGCGGGATTGCAGGGGAGTTGGACTAAATGGCCCTCGGATGTCCCTTCCAACTCTGAGGATTCTATGATTTTATGACTGATCGTCCCTTCCCTACTGTTACTTCAGTGGGCAGCTTCCAGTAACGCACTCACTTTGTGCTTGCAGCCAGTAGTGGTGGCAGCGATGAGGTATTAGATCTGTGTCCTTTGTGTGCAGGAAAGAGCCCTCTGTAATTGTCACAGCTTAGCTTTTTGCACTGCTGCCTTCCGTGAAGAAGTTTGCCCCAGGAAACCACTAGTGTTGACCAAGCAGATGACCACTGTGCTTTCAGGCTGCCATCCACGTAGGGGGAATTCCTTTTTTCAGTATTCCTATTTCATGAAACTACATACAGTATGCAGTAGGATACTTTTTTTTTTTTTAACAGATTTTTTTTTTAATATCTGAATAAAAGGAAAAGCTCTGAGGGAGGGGAGTGTATGGAGGGCATACAAAGTACTCGCACTTGGCATGGATGCCTTGCTATTTTTTTGAACCTCTAGGAAAAGATCTCGAATGAGTCAGCGGTCTGCGATGAGCGCTGTGCACTCCCCAGTACAGTAAGGCTTTATATACACGCTGAGATAGGTCTTCAAAACCGGAATTCATTTGATTCTTTCTAGAAGATGTGTGCCTTCATTGCAGTGATTTATTTTGGTTTGTTCCTCTGGGATTTGAAGAGCTGAGATTATGAATATTTAATAGAAATATCATCTGGCCAGTGCGTGTGTATTGCTGGAAGGAGATGAATCAATAAAATTTTCTGCAGAGATGATTACTATGGCAGTATTTGAGGTTATACCTGAATTCCTGTCATACTGTTAGTGATTCTGGCCCTTAAGAACAGAAATGTCACTGAAGTTGAGTGGATCCAGGCCTCATCTCTTGATAAAATCAGAGATGGGGGCTGTAACCTTTGTGGGAAGGTGGTTCTGTACCTGTGAGGATGTTTTGTGTGAGTCGTGGTACAGTAAAAGGAAAAGTGATTCAAAATGTCTGTGAGCACACTGAGTGCTCCTGAGCAAGGCTCAGTGTCTCTGCAAGTTGTGCACATTTACATGGCCCTTGTGTAAAAGCTCCCTCTGTTTTCTGTTCCAAGCAAAAGAAATTACACAGCGAGAGTGCAAATGTCAGTGTGAAGGAGCTTGCTTACTTTTTCCTTTCAGTTGAATTTAGGGGGATCGTGGCATGTTGAAATGAAATGAAATATACCCAGTGGATAAAATAGAGCTTTTAAAGGAGCCATTTGAAACATTCTGTGGGATTTGCCCCATCTAATTTTGTAAATGCATATCTGACCTAATAATTTGTGGGATTCTGGATAGTTGTGTGGAAGAAATGGATGGCTTATTCTACAGCTCTGACTAGGAACAAGGCAAAGGACACTTGAAAAGTATTCACTGCTCTCCATTGACCGTAAAAAGGTGGTGACACACTGGAACAGGTTGCCCAAGGAGGTTGTGGATGCCCCATCCCTGGAGGCATTCAAGGCCGGGCTGGATGTGGCTCTGGGCAGCCTGGTCTGGTGGTTGGCAACCCTGCACATAGCAGGGGGTTGAAACTCTATGATCATTGTGGTCCTCTTCAACCCAGGCCATTCTATGATTCCCGATGCCGATGTGTACATTTGGGTCGCATAAATCTTGCCTTCTCTCTGAGGAGAATTCCAGTCAGATTTTACAAGTCTTCCCAGCTGAGTCACTGTTTGGTTTTGGTTTTTTTTTTCCTGTATTGAGAAATGCATAACAATAGCCAGAGTTCACTCCAGTTAGGGTTTTCTCAGGCTCTTCCTGTAATGCTCACAATTCCAGTACTTAAGAAGTATCTGAATTTGATTTATTGAAATTACTTTGATATGAAACCTAATGCTGATACTTTGTTTTAACTTCATGCAAAAGGATTTTTTCTACCTGGTGCTGTTTAACTTCACCCAGCAGAGAATATATCAGCACCAGAACTTAGCACATGGTTAATCATTTCAAACATGGATTATCTGGAAGCAGAATCTGAACTGCTAGAGGGAGGTGCAGAGAGCGAAGAACACAGTGTGGCAGTCAGATGAGAAAACAGCTGTCTCCAAGAGTGGTCATAGACAAATAAACGACGCGTCTGTTTGAGAGGCAAGGCTTATTCAAGATGAAACTTATATCTCACAAGAGTGCTTTAATATTCTGTGGTTATTTGAACAGCTGTTAGATCACTTCCAGTTTCTCAATGAATTTGGCAGCCAAACTATAATTGTGGCTTCACCGTCTATATTTTCTGTGGAGTTGACCTTCCAATTACTTGAGCATACTTTGTGAGTGTGTTTGGTAATTCTGGATACTGTTGTTTGCATCTAGAATTATCTGCTTAAAAGCACATTCACGTAGGATACAGCTGCCTGATATAAGGTGGCTCTAGCTCTGAGAAGTTTCCTACTGCTGAGACAGTACCTGAGAGTACTACTTGGTTGTCAGTTCTTGCTTGCAGTAAGGCTGATCTGTGTGTTCTGAGTAGCTCTATTGGTTAGAGCCCTACAACTGATGATGGCTGGAATGGCGGAGATGGGAAGGTAGTTAGAAACATCTGCAAGTCACCAGGCACACACTGTGCTGTGGCTGAAATATGGCCCAGCGGGTGGACTGTGTGAGAAGGGGCTGGAGAGCTGCATGGCTGCATGGGTCATGTGCTATGTGTGTTCCCTTTCCTCAGCCGTCCTCAGGGTGCTGTCTTGTTTTTAAGCTATTACATACATTTTTGAGTCTGGAAGGAAGAAGTGGCAGTGTTTCTTGTATTCTCTGCTGAATGAATTTTGCATTCTCTGCTGGAGAACCATTACTTGCAGTTTTACCTTGATGAAAGGTCACGTTTTGGGCAAGAGAATGTGGAATGTATTGCACTCTAGTCGTTTGCTGAATTCAAGGGCATGTCAGTGCTAGGAAGCCCACATGTCTGAATGCTTGAGGCTGAGGTCCCAGCAGGAGGTGCAGTCCAAAAAACCAACTGGCAGGGGCTGAGGGGGGTGTGTTGGCAGGGTCCTTGGCTATGGCATAGTAACTGAGAAAACAAACCCGATGGGTAGCTTTCTTCCACACTTCCATTTCAGAATCAGAGGATAAGCTGCAGCTAGAACTTAGCAGAATCCAAAAGAATGTTGTATTTAAAAATAGTTTGTGAAATCCCTTAAAAATCCCCAAGCAAACTGTGCAGTTCTTCTCTCCATCAGAAGACATCCGTGTACTCAGACATTCCCCCAGTGGTGTCGCAAACCAGAAATGGGAGTGGGTGGGGTTATGGAGAACAGCTTCACCTCGGGTCACTGGTTGGGATCCAAGCGGGGATAATGTCGAAAATCAGACGGCGTATGGAAACTATTGAATTGATGTGCTCTTTGGTAATGGGTATGCACAATTAGTATTTGCTGCTTCAGTGGCGGTCTGACGGCAAATGGCTGTAGTCAGAGATGGCAAACAGAGTCGGTTGTGAGACGCCGTCTTCTGAGAGATGAATAAATAGAAAACAGTTTAATTTCTTAAATATATGCTCTTCCCTTTCACAGAGTAATCTGAAAAATTGAGTCTAATTACCAAAAATGTTGAAAGTTATGCAAGAAAATGACTTTGACCTTTCTGAGTAGGAAGAGCTGCAAGTCTTCCCCGTAGGCTGTCCTCCTGTGACCTTTCGGTTGTCCTCTTGAGCAAACAGAGAGCCGCGTCTCTCCGCAAGCTCTGCTCGGGCTGCAGCCAAGGCCAGCTCTGCATTTCCAGCGCACAAAACGCAGTGGGTTTGGAATGCGTTGGTACCACCGCATCTCCTTCTGCCTAATTTCTGTTTTGTTAACTTTTATTGGCTTGTGTATTTATTGCTAAATTGCTTTGGCACGGTGCCAGGCTTCTTATTGTGCTCCAGTATGGCAGAAATCATTAGGATTTTAAAAACAAAACATTCCCAGCCCTTAAAAAAAATAGAACAAAACCCAGAAAAAGCGCATAATGACGGCATCTGGATGCT